GCTCTCTCGGGAGGCCGCTGCCCTCGTGCCACCTCCCTGTGGGCGTCGCCAAGAGCGGGCTCAAGTCCAGGCGTAGCTCGAGATCGCCAGCCGCTGCCGTCGGCACCGCGGCCAGGCTAAATAGTGCTGGCGCCCAGGCCCCGCCTCGGCAGCGCTCGGGCGCCTGTAGGCCTGGCCGGCCTCAGCGGGCCTATGGGGGTTGGACGCATCGACCCCCAATCGCCCACCGATCGCCGAGAAGAGGCCCCACAGCCCCAGCCTGCCCAGGAGCGCGCGGATCTACCATCGGGGGCCTCTCGCCGATCTATCGGCGATGCAGCGCCGACTCCAGGTCGGCGTTCCCCCCCCCGGCTGCCCGTCGCCCCTGCCGCTGCCGCTTCAAAGGCGGGGCCTCGCCGGCGGCCCCACGGTCTTCGTCGGCGGACGGGGTGGCGGGAGGCCGGCGGAGAAGCACCAGCCCGCGGCGGGCCCGCCGGCGGAGGCCGCCGGAAGGTCGGCGGGAGCCGAGGAAGAGACGGCGCCATAAACATACAGTGCCGTCTTCTGATGCATGCTCCGCGTGCGGATCACGTATTAAAAAATGCAGGGACGTAGTACTAAAAACAACGAGGAGTTCATGCATACATTTATTCCTAATCTACTCATGTATTAACATCCTATATATATATATATATATATAGTGTATTAAAAACAAACATAACAATAATATAAACAACTGCCCTGTAAACTGTTGGCGCTCCGCGCGGATCTCTTGGATCCGCGCTGGGCCTCCCGGCGGCGCCTCTGGCGCCGCCCCTGGGCGCGCGGAACGCGCCAGGGGGGCGTGGTCCAGCGCGGGTGAGCCCCGTTGAAAGCCCCCGGAGCCTCTCAGAGTAGCTTCAGAGCTTAGGCCCCTAGGCTTTCGACCCCTTCCTGGGGACCGCTTTTGCGTCGTTCGCTTTCTGGCGGCGCCGGGGCTCGTCGTCGTCGTCGTCGTCTTCCTCATCCTCGTCCTCCCCATGATCCTCCTTCCAAAAGTGTCCCCGCCCCTAGGTGTCTTCAGGAGTTCCACGAGGCCCCCGATGGCCTCCAGAGCTCGACGACGACGCCGCCCACGACGACGGCCGCGGCGACGACGGCGACGACGCCAAGCCCCACGTCACGATCGAGAGCGAGGTTGCGCGGAGCAGGCGCGAGAGCCCGAAAGCGCATTCAGGGTGCCCAACAATAATAATTGTTTAGCGACGACGGCGACGGCGACGACGATGACGATGGCGGCGGCGGCGACGACGACGGCGACGACGCCACTCCCCAGGACACGATCGAGAGCGAGGTTGCGCGGAGCAGGCGCGAGAGCGCGAGAGCACACTCACGGTGTCCAAGAATAGCCATGGTTTATTAATGAAGGTCCACCAAGGACTAGGTAAGCTTCAGGGCCTCCTGGGGGTCTTGAATCAAAACGGAGGAAGTATCGAGCGGGGGCGTTGTTGTTTGTAGTGGGTCCCGAGGCGGAAACGCCCGTCCTGAGGTGAAAAGCCAGGAAGTATCGAGCCGGGGCGCCGATTTTGTTGTGAAGGCGGCTTGCGGGGGCGAGCAAGAGCCCCGGCCCCGAGTGAGAAAGGATGAGGTATCGAGCCGGAGCGTTGTTGAACATTATTACTTCTAAAGAATAATTATTGTTGGGACCCCTGGTGCGCGACCCCCCTCCAAAACCTAGGCCGCAGCTACATTTTCATCATTTTTTAGCGAAAGCTTCAGAAAAGTGAATTATTACCGGATCCGGTTGTTTTGTTGTACTCCGTTTTCCCTTGCAAAAAACACTATAAAATGAAAATTCTTGTTCTTACTTGATCAAATTGCAAGAATCCCTTGCAAAAAATAAGGTAAAGTGGACATTCGTGCGCGCAAGACGAAATCCTTCCAAAACCTTAGGTTTCGTAGCGATTTTAACATAAAAACATCAAAAACCCAATGGTTTTTTAAGAAAAAATTGTCAAAATGTCCTTCCGCGCGCGCTGTCCGAATCCCACAAAACCAATGGTTTTTCAACATTTATGTTACATGAGCTCGCGCGAGCTACTTTTTCTTGTTCTAACATAATCAAATTTCAATAATCCCTTGCAAAAAATAAGGTACAGTGGACATTCGCGCGCGCAAGACGAAATCCTTCCAGAACCTTAGGTTTCGTAGCGATTTCAACATAAAAACATCAAAAACCCAATGGTTTTTCAAAAAAAAATGTCCAAATTTCATCCCGCGCGCGCTGTCCGACTCCCACAAAACCAATGGTTTTTCAACATTTATGTTACATGAGCTCGCGCGAGCTACTTTTTCTTGTTCTAACATAATCAAATTTCAATACTCCCTTGCAAAAAAAAGTAAAGTGGACATTCGCGCGCGCAAGACCAACAAAAAACACGACGATCTCAGGAACTTGCCCCAAAAATGTGACCAACTCCGCTCTCTCTGTCTCTCTCTCTGTCTGCTCTCTGTCTCTCTCTCTGTCTGTCTGTGTCATGTATTGTATGTCACAATTGCAGGATGCTGGGCACACGCGCGCCCCGAATAAGTGACCAAGTTCTGTGGGTGTGTACCCCACGCCAGTGTAGTAGCCACGGTCGTCCGCACGCCACGAAGTGAAGTGTCCCAACGTCATAGGGCGGGAAGCTGGGTTTGGGTGGTCGCGAAGAGTCGTTTGGATATTTGGTAGAGCTTGAACTGCCCCCCCACGAAGTGGGGGTATTGTCTCGCGTCGCATGAAAACCCTGGCACTGGTGAGAACACTGAGCGTTCGGGTAAAATGATTGTTGTTGTTGTTGTTGTTGTTGTTGCCGTTGGGGGGGCCGATTTTGGCGCAGCCCCGACGCGCCCGAGCGCGAGCGTAATTTCCAATGGAACTGCAGCTGGCGCCCAGGCGAGAGCGCGGCAGCGCATTCCGGGCAATCATTATATAGTCTACGCAATGAAGGTTCAACAGCAAAAACAGCAGCAGCAACGACGGCAATCATTTCAAGACTGTTCTGTTTTATTTGCTCGCGTACCCTCGATGCCCGCCCTCATTGTTTTCGGTCGCGCCCCTTTGGAGGTGCACGCATGTATGCATGTATGCATGTATGCAAATGTGTATATATATACACATATATATATATATATATATGTATATATATATATATATATATCTGACCTGCAAAGTGTATTTCGTGCAGCTCCTGAGGCAGGGGAGGAAAGGGCGGATGGAAGGACGGGCAAAGAGGAAGGAGAAGGATAGAGCGCGAGAGAGAGAGAGATAGAGAAAGAAAGTGGGTAGCAGGAAACGGTCGAGGAGCAGAACACACTTGTCAAAACCAGACGGGCAGATCGGGCGGATAGACCCTCACGGGCGGATCGGAAAGGCGGGCCCAGGCAGCCAGGTCGAGCAGGCGGGTTGCCGAAACGTGCGTCCTGCATCAATCGCGTGGAAGTTTCGGGCGATATCGCGATTTCCCATTAAATCGTGCGGGAATCGGCAGCGACAGTGTCATTCCTGAGTGTCGAAGGCGCGGCGTGTGAATCAATTGCAAGGAAGTCCCACGCGAGAGCGCGACTCTTGCGCGAGAGCGCGATCTGGAAGTACATTGCGCGGAAGTATAAGGCGGAAGCCGCTGTTGCTGTAAACCGGGGTCCAACAACCCACTTCTGAAATTGAAGACCTTCCCTTGTAAAACACAGGGTGCGAGCCACGGGAAGGGCACTTCAATGGACAAAACAACATGTGCCCTGGGCTTGCCTGGGCCAGTCGGTCCCCGACCCGTTATCTTGGCGATCCGAGGCGGCCCGATGTTCGCATGGCGTTGCCGTGCATCCTGGCGCGGCCGATCCGATTCGAATCTGGCTCCGTGCCGACGTGGCCCGATCCAACCCCGATTCGGTCAATTTTTCCGATTCGATGCAGCTGATCTTGCTTGGAGGCTGCTTTCACGTAGACCCATGCAAGTTTAATTGCATGGAGGAGGAGGAGGAGGAGGAGGAGGAGGAGAAGGAGGAGGAGGAGGGAGGGGGGTCAGTGGCCTGGCGAGGCCGTAACGGAAACAGGGTGCACGCACGCCGAGACTCACTTGGATGATCTCTCGGCTCAGCATCGTTTCCGAAGGCTGTTTAGAACCTCCCAGAATTCTGCATGTTTTGTGCCTCTATGTCTTCCTTCCTCCTGCTCCTCCGCCTCCTCCCACGCCCTGGCATTCAGGCGCACAGCCTGGAAATTGTCCAGGAACTTGTTTGAATGACTCCCAGATCATTTCGAAGTGCCAGAATGAAGAATTGACCCCGCCTCCTGCTAAGGTCGCGCTCCGACCAGTATTTCGCGAGAGATCCAGCGGTTGCGACGAGGGCCCCCGACAAGGAGGCCCGAATAGTACCAAAAGCGTTGAAATTCCTCGCTCCTACTCCTTCTCCCCACCCCCCTCCGGAGATTTCCACAGGTCCGCGGATGATTTGGAGGTCTCGAGACGTCCCCGAGGTTTCCAAAGGTCGTGAAGTCTCAAGAGGTTGCAGGGGATGCCACCAGAGAACGAGGACTAGAAGGAGGAGGAGGAGATGGTGGAGGAGGAGGAAGAGGAGGAGGAGGAGGAGGAGGAGGAGGAGGAGGAGGAGAGGGTAGGCGTCCCCTCATCCTTCCTTCCTTCCTTCCTTCCTTCCTTCCTTCCTTCCTTCCTTCCTTCCTTCCTTCCTTCCTCCCCTCCCCTCCACTCCCCTCCCCTCCCCTCTCCTCCCCTCCCTCGAGCTCTCTCTCCCCCTCCTACCCGGTCCCTTCTCCCCCACCTGGTGCTTTGCTTCGATTGGCTGCTTTCCTTTGGCACGTGCCGGAAGGGCCTGCTGCCTCTTGGCAGCGTTGGCCAGCTCAGGGCCTGGCGCCCCCTTGGAGGTCGGAATCAGACCTAACCCCCCATCGGCTCTCCGGGAGAGCTGCTAGCAGAGCGAAGCGCAGACTGCCGCAACGCTGAGTCCGACCGACCTCCTCCCTCCCTCCCCTCGCGCCGCTGCAGGTGTACGGCCTGGGGGACGTCTGGGCCAAGAGCTCCCGCGCCGAGTTCGTGCTCCCGGCGGTGTGCCAGGCCGCGGGGACGGGCCAGTTGACGTCGTCGTCGTCGTCGGCGTTGTCGTCGTCGTCGTCGCAGGGGGGGCAACATGAGCAGGAGGAGGAGGAGAAGAGGACGAGGCAGAGAAAGGAGGGGGAGGAGGACGAAGATAAATATAAAGGAGGAGGAGGAGGAGGAGGAGGAGGAGGAGGAGGAGGAGGAGGAGGAGGAGGAGAGGAAGGTGGAGGTGGAGGATGACCCCTACGCTCCAACTTAGGCAGGTGGCTGGGTGGCAATCGTGCAGAGGATTGTGAGGCCGTGGGAAGGATAGAGGAGGAGGGAGGAGGGTGAGGGAGGAGGGAGGAGGGGGAGGGGAGAGGAGGAGGAGGAGGAGGAGGAGGAGGAGGAGGAGGAGGAGGAGGAGGAGGAGGAGGAGGGTGCTGAGGGTGCTGACCAAATCGAACAGGTCGCTCCGAACGCTCGGCACCACGGCCGCCGGCGCCAGCAGGAGGTCCGCGCGCTCCAGTCGGCATGGGGGCAGGAGCCCCGCAGGGGCCCGCCGAGAGGGCCACGGGGGCCCCCAGGACCGAGAGGCCAGGGGAACCGAACCCCCAGGGAGCCCCAGGACGGGCCAGGACGCCCCCGACTGGAGCGCGTGACCCTCCCGCCACCTTCAGTGCTTTCAGGAGGGAAAGAACACACAGACACAACTAATCGTCGATTCCCCGGAAAATATGCAAAAATATGGGAATTGGGGGGAAGACGAAAATCCAAAAAATATAGGAGCATATGGGGAATCCTGTTATTTGTGTGTATTTATTTGTGTGTCCCAGGGCCCCTTCATGCTTGTCGTTCACCCCCGTCCAAGACGAGGCGCTTCACAACCACGCCTCGAGGCCCGCGCGGTCGGCACCCTCGATGCCGGGCTCCTGCTCATGGGCAAGCGAGCTCGGCGTCGTCCGCGAGCTGCAACGCCTGCAGGACCTTGACGGGGTCCGTCTTGCGTCTTGCCCTTTGCGTCGCCTGCCACCAGGTCGCCGTCGCTCTCGTCGACGTTGCCCACGCCAACGCTGCTCGACTGCTCCACCTGCTTGACCGTCTTCTTCTTGCGCTTCTGCTCGCCGTGCGTGTCGGAGGCTGCGCCGAGGCCCACGACGCTGCTCGATTGCCCCCCCTGCTGCACCTGCGTGCCGTACTTGTCGGAGACACCGTCGAGGCCCGTGCACTTGCTGCTCGACTGCTCCTCCTGCTGCACCTCCTGCTTGCCGTGTGTGTCGGAGGCTACGTCGAGGCCCACGCTCACGCTGCTCTAACCTCGTCCCGCTTCACCTCGGGCATGCCGCCCACGAAAGTCCGGGACGACTCGGCGCCCCGAGCCGCTGAACAGGAGGAGGAGAAGGATCACGAGGGGGAGGTCGAGGAGGAGGGGGAGGACAAGGAGGAGGAGAAGTAGGATGAGCAGGAGGGAGGAGAAGGAGGCAGAAGAGGACGAGGAGGCGGAGGAGGATGACGAGGACGAGGAGGAGGAGGAGGAGGAGGAGGAGGAGGAGGAGGAGGAGGAGGAGGAGGAGGTGGACGAGGAGGACGAGGAGGGACGAGGAGGAGCAGGGTGCGAGGGGCAAGTGGGGTGAGGAGGTGGAGACGGGGGGGCAGTGTGCAAGACACGAGGCAGAGGAGTGGAGGAGGAGGAGGGGGAGGAGGTGGAGGAAGGAGGAGGTGGAGAGGAGGAGGAGGAGGAGGCAGGATGGAGGAGGAGGAGAGAAGAGGGAGGAGCAGGAGCAGGAGCAGGAGGAGGAGGAGGAGGAGGAGGAGGAGGAGGAGGAGGAGGAGGAGGGCCATTTCGCCTGCGCCGACAAGCCGACGGTGACAACGGACCGACGACGACGACGACGACGACGACGACGACGACGACGACGACGACGACGACGACGACGACGACGACGACGGGCCGACGACGACGGCGCACCGACGACGGACCGACGCAGCATGGCGACGGCCCGGCGGCGACCTGCCCTCCCCCCCCTGGGGGCAAGCCGCGCGCCGAGGCCGCGGGCGGGGAGATCACAGACTTCGCCGCGCACCCCTCCCAGCTCTACCTCGTGGTGGCCGCCGTCCTCCCCGCCGCGGACACCAGGCCCCTGCGCGGCCGCCGAGCGGCTGCCGCCTCGTCGGGCCGCCGCCCGCGGCCTCCCTCCGCCCGTCGCTTTCTTGGGCCGCCGCCGAGGCCCCTCGGGGCCGCCCTCGCGCGCTGGCCCGTGCCGCCGCCGAGCGGGCGCGCTGCTGCCGTCGGGCCGCCGCGGGTCCTCGCGCTGGGCCGCCGCCCATCGCCACGATGGGCCGCTCGGCCGCCGCCCTGGGCCCGTCCCCGGACCTCGCGCGCCGCGGGCGCAGAGCTCCAGCGGCACGACTGGCTCGATCAGGGCGTGCTTCCCCGAGCGCTCGGCCTCTGAGGCCCGCTGCCGGGCCCTCGGTGCCACCGGGGCAGCATCTGCAGGGCGCAGGGCTGCCCCCGAGAGAGGGCCGCGGGCGCGCTCCGGGGCCGCGGGCGGAGCGGGAGCGTCCCAGCAAGGGGGGTCGTGGAGCTCGGTGCCGGCAAGGGGTCGGGAGCCCCAGGGTCGGGAGCTCCCCAGACATCCGCAGTCTTGAGTTTTTCAGTGCGGGCTCCCTGGAAGTCCCGACCCTTCCCCCGGGACCCGCTTCTCGTCCCGAGCCGTTCTTTGCCGGCCCCGGGGCCCGGCGGGGGCCCCCAGAGGCCACAAACTGAGCAGAACCCCCGTCTCGACTTTTTTCAAGATGCGTTGGGTCTCTGGGCCTCTGGCGTCGGAGGACCTCTGGGGCGAGGACGCCACGGTGCGCGGGGGGGAGCTCGGCGCGCGGGGGTCGGAGGGCGTCTGGGGAGGGGGGCGGCGCTCGCGCGTGCGTCCCCGCTGCCGGCCCCCCCCACGGGGCCCCACGCCCGGCCCCATGGGGCCGCCGTGGGCGCGACGCGTCATGGGGAGGGAGGCCAGTTTCATGTCGGGCGCGCCCTTCCATACAGGAGGAGTATTCAAAAATGGTCCCCAAACATATGGGGAGTTATATATATATATATATATATGTATATATATATATATGTGTATATATATATATATATTATAAAATAAGAAATAAAAAAGCATGTTCTTTTTTATGTCTTATGGTATTTTTTGACCATTCTGGGATATGTTTGGGGTATTTCTCATTTTTCGCTCAGACTCCGCCTGCAGGGGGGACATGCCCGACCTATAGAGCCAGCCCCGGGGGAGGGGCCCAGAAAACCTCTGGGGAGCCACGCTGCGACAGCACCTCGACACCGGGCGCCTGGGTCCCCCGCCACCGCCGAGCGCCCGGTCGGTCGCCGGTGCGGTCGGCCGCGCCGCCCTGGCCTGGCCGTCGCCCGCTGCTCGTCCCGGTGGGGCGTGGCGCGCCGTCGCCGTGGGGCGCTCCTCGCCGAGCTTCGGCTGTCGATGCCGCCGTCGCGCGGCAGCCGCATACTCTTCCTCGTTGTCCTTCTTCCGCTTCTCCTCCTCCTCCTCCTTCGTCCTCCCCTTCTCTTCCTCCCCCCCTCGTCTCTTCATGCCCCCCATCCCCTCTTCCTCCCCTCCTCCTCTCCTCTCTCCTCTTCCTCCTCTCCATCCCCCGCCTCCTTTCTTCTCCGTCTACAATTGCACTGGTGTGAGCGCTGCTCTTCTCTCTCCCCTGGAGACGTCCGGAAGATGTCCGGCCTCCCTCCGCGTACTGCCCCTTTACACAGGATTCCCGGGAACTGGGTTTTCGCTTCGGTTTTGTTTCAAAATGCTGCTCCCGCTGAAGCACTGGCCTCATTTTCGGGTTTCCGCTCGTTCCGAATCGTGCTCCCGCTGCAGCGTTGGCCTCATTTCCTCGCTTCCGCTCGTTTCGAATCGTGCTCCCACTGCAGCGCTGGACTCATTTCCGCGCTTCTGCTCGTTCCGAATCGTGCTTCCGCTGCAGCGCTGGTGCCATCATTCCCAGTGCCATGCCACGGCATGGTTTTTGGTCCTTCAAATAGTCCCCAAAATCTAGAACAGGCCCCCCCCCCCGGAAAAACCATTGGAAGTGATTCCACATTCGGTGTCGATTCGTTGATTTTTGGGGCTGCAGAAGACCCCCCCACTTTGGGGCGTCGCCACGCCATGCTATGTCATGCTACGCGTTGGTTTTCAACGCCATGCTATGCCATGTAATGCTATGCCATGCTACGACATCCGACTGTACGCCATGGTAAGGGATGGGAGGGAGAGGTAGGACATCAGATGACGCGAACGCACCAGCTTGCCCCCTCCCCCTCGGCCTCCCCCGAAGCCTCACCCCTCCTCCTCCGACCCTGGACCTGCCAGCCCGGAGGTAGGCCAGCCCGGACCCACATCCCCTCGCCGGACGGCAGCGGCGGTGGCGGCCGCGGCGGCGGCGGCCGCGGTCGCGACGACGCCTCGAAGGTCGGTCGCGCTGGTGTTCGACATGTGGAGCGGGGAGCTGCTCAGCTCGTGCGCGCTCTTCGGCTCGGCGCTCACGACCCCGCTGCTGCCCCTCAGGCGTACGCCGCCGCCGCCGCCGCGTCGCCGGCCGTGGCTCCTCCTCCTCTCGTGGCTCTCACGTGCGGTGCACCCTCCGCATGCGCATCAAGCACGTGGACTCCGCACCTTGCGCACGTGACTACGGCCGTGTGTGTGTGTGTGTGTGTGTCGACCCTGCGCTCAGTACTTAAACCGACTCTGCCTTGCCGCTGCGCGCGAGGCCGCTTTCGCCAAAGTGTGTGTATGTGTGTTTCTCGTGTCTACTAGAACGCGCGAGCGGGCTGCCTGCGCCGCGCCGCGACGAAACATTTATCACATGGCCACGGATGTGAATTCATCGTCTTGGCAGTGTCCTTGCTCGTTTCTCCACCGCTGGCTTCTCGAGTTGGCGACCGTCCGCCTTCCTGCCCGCCTCGTCGTCCTCGTCGTTCGTCTCTTCGTCCTCACTCCCTCCTCCCCTGCATGGCGTACGATTGGCTTCGCGTCCTGGCCGGGAGGAGGAACCGGCCCCGCGGCTTCTCGTGCGACGCCCACGCCGCCTGACGCCTCATGTGGGCGATCGTTCGCCTCCCCTCCCCGCTATCTCCTCGTCGTTCTTGTCGTTCGTCTCGTCGTCTCCCCTCTTCTCCTCGTCCTCCTCCTCCTCCTTCTCCTCCCTGCTCCTCCGCTCTGCTCCCTCCTCCTCCTCCTCCTCCTCCTCCCTCCTCCTCCTCCTCTCCTCCTCCTCCTCCTCCTCCTCCTCCTCCTCCTCCTCCTCCTCCTCCTCCTCCTCCTCCTCCTCCTCCTCCTCCTCCTCCTCCTCCTCCTCCCTGCTCCCTGCTCCCTGCTCCCTGCTCCCTGCTCCCTGCTCCTGCCGCCGCGGCTCGTGCACTTCCGGCTGCGGCCTTCGCTTGCCGAGGGGAGCGCCGCATCCACGCCGCCGGCCTGGTCCTCCAGACTTGTCCCTCCCCGCTTCCGTGCTGCTTGGGTTGGGTACGGCCAGGACCCCGGGTAAGGGGACCCGGTTAGTGGTAGGGTCCCAGAGCCTTCGAATTGGCCAGAATCACTAAACCAGGTTTGCCATAGCTGGTGTATTTTTTTTTCGGGTGACGGCAGTTCCGGTTATTGGAAATGGGACGGGGGGGCGCCCCCGGTACAGATCACTAAACCAGGTTCCACTAAACCCAGTTCTACCAACGCCCGATTAGGGGCCGCCTGCATTCGCGGCCCAGCATTTCTCCACTCGGCGGCGAGCGAGGGGGGGACGTGAGAGGGATGAGGCCTCCTCAGAAGGTTCGGCAGTCGGAGGTCCCCCGGCCTTCCGAGAGAGCTGTCCTGAGCCCTCCCCAGAGACGAGGCAGGCCTTTCTCAGAAGGCGCGAGGGCCTCCGAGAGGCCCCGCCGCCTTCTGCGAAGCGAAGGCCTTCTCCTTCTCGCTTCCCGCCCCCCTCCGCTCGCCGCCTGCCCATGTCCGGTGTCCGTGACGGCGCGCGGCTGCCGGGCGCACGCGGAGCCGTCGTGGTTGCCGAGCCGCCGCGCGCTGCGTGGCGTGTGTAGCCTCCGGGGCGGTTGAGGGGGGGGCCCTGCTGGGGTGGGGGCGGGCGGGGCTGCGGCTCCCCCCCCGCCTTGAGCGGGGGTGTCTCTGTCGGAGGTTCATAGGCCCCCTACCCTGGCACGTCGATGAGCGAATTGGCCGTTTTCGGTCCGCGAGAGGGCTCCGCGGCCGTCATTTTTTGCGGGTCCACGTCCGTCGGTTTCGGCCCCAAGCCGTTCTCACTGAAGGGCGGTTTGCTGACGGGAGGTGTGTCCACCGCCGACTCTGCGGGGGGGGGCCTTCTCCGCGATCTGGAGGGGCAGCGGCTGCGGCCTTGGTCGCCTCTGCTCTCCCTTCCTGCGTGTGCGCATCGAAGAACAAAAAAAAGCGGCCTGAAAATGAACCTTCGACGGTCCGCGCGGATTTCTTTGATCCACGCGGGGGGCCCCCTGGCGGCGCCTCCGGCGCCCCCCCTGCGCCCCTGGGACTCCTCCTCCTTCTGCAAGATATTTGCCTGGCCCTCTTCTGCAGGATTTCTTTGTGTGTCCCTGGGTCCCCCTCTGCAAGACATTTGCAATCCGTGTTCGGTTCGGACGTTCGCACCCAAGGGGGGCGCACAGTACTGGCAACGGAGGGGGCGTTCGCTGAGGCATGTGCCCCGGAGGCTTCAGGCCCTGGGGGGGTCCTTATCTGATGAGGGCGGCGGTCATATCCGTGGCCAATCCACGATTGGAGGCCCACCGGCTTCCAGATCCTGGGCTCCTCATCGAAGGGCTCCTTGTCCAATGCCAAGGGAGGAAGAACCACCCGGACCCGAGAATCGGCGTTTACTATAAAAGGCCCTGGGCAGTTACTGAACAGCCCTGCCCTGTTCGATTCCCTTTTGGGGTGCGTCTACCACGAGTCGGGGTGATTTTTGTGAGGGTGGCTTTCCTGCTACAGTCGGCACTGATTAGTAGGTCGATCCTGCCAAGTCAAGGGTACCCTCGTGTCCTGTGTCTCGCGACCCATGCCTCCTACATTCCTGTGGCAATGTGGCGCTCGGAAGGGTCTTGTGTCCTCTCGCGTGTCCTGTCCAATCAAGTCCGACTGTATGTCCTGCCGCGTGCCGCGCAGGCCGTCCCTCTGCGTCGACCCCAGCGGGGCCTTCCTGTTCTGCGCCTCGTCCCCCACGGCCATCGGCGCGCTCGGCGTCTCCGGGCAGCCGGAGCAGGCCGGCGCCGCGAGCGTGTGCGGGGGCGGCCGGCGCTGGCGCGGCGGCGGCGAGGGAGGGCGACGAAGTGGAGGGCACCAGCTGCGCACCAGCACTTGAGTCGGGCGTGTCCCTCCACGGGAGGAATATCACACGCGAGAGGTCGCAAGGCCCTTTCGAGGGCCACATCGCCACAGGAATGTACGAAGCATGGGTCGCGAGACACAGGGCACAAGGGTACCCTTGATCTGGCAGGGTCGACCTACTAATCCGGGCCGCCTGTAGTCAAAAGCAGTCCGGGGACGTTCCTTTGTGTGTGTGTGTGATTTGTTTGACCATGGACCATGCTTGAGTATTTGTCGACTATCTTGTATCTTTCCTCCCGAATCCGCCTGTAGGGGGACATGCCCAACCTCAAGCTGCGCACCAACACCGCTCCTGGCCAGGCTGGCCCTGGGCCCCGGCTCGGCGCTGTCGAAGAACAGAGAATCCGATATGAGCACAACCTTTTGGGGCTCCGCGCGGAGTTCCTGGATCGGCTCTGGGCGCCCCTGGCGGCGCCTCCGGCGCCGACCCTGGCGCGCTCCGCGCGTCAGGGAGGGGGGTCCAGCGCCAATCCAGGAACTCCGCGCGGAGCTGCAAAAGTTTGTATGTCTCTGCCGTCATTTTTGGTCCTCTGTGTGTGCGCCTTCCTGCCCAAGCCACTGGGGGCGTTGACTCCGATCCTTGGTCACGATGAGCCTGGCCAGGATCGGCACAGGTGTCCACAGCCATGTGCCTCAAGGCCCCACAGGGGGCCGTGCCAGCAGCACGCATTTTGCACTGCTGTAAACGCGTTGCGTCCAAGACAGACGTCGTCCTTGGCGTCTCCCCGAACGGACGTTTCCAGGAGCCAGACCTGCCGCGTCTTGGCAGAAGTCCGTCCCCACAGAAGCCAGAGCGGATTGTGAAGATTGCACTGGCCGGAGTTTTGATTTCGATTCCGCGGTCGGCGGTTTGGGGGAACGCGCCAATTTCGGCCAGCTCCGGGGCCCCGCCCCGCAGGGGCCCACACCCTCTGCGAACAGCGCCCCCCAGCGGGCGCCGAGAATGTGTGCCGCTTCAGACTTACCTGGTCCTAGACCAGCCAACAGACTTGGCCAGTCTGCTAGTCTGTAGCTTACGTTGTATTGCGCACTGCTTGCAATTCTACCCGAGGCCACCAGTGCCAGATACTCCAGGTTGGGGTATGGGGCGGAGGTTGAACTTAGGTACTTGGGGGGGGCGCTACACACTAAGGTATGTGGTGGCCTCCAGCACCTGGCGGGCGCCTACTCTTCTTCACTTCTTGCCGCCGCATATTTTACAGTTTTTTTTTCCGCGGCGCCCGCCAGGTACTTCGTGCGCCGAGTCGGATTTCATGCGTTCAAGAACGCAACATGCAGCACACCTGATGCTAGTCTAACGCTCACAACAAGGAGGAGGAGGAGGAGGAGGAGGAGGAGGAGGAGGAGGAGGAGGAGGAGGAGGAGGAGGAGGAGAAAAAAACGATTGGGAGCAAGATGTGTAGAGGAGAGGGAGGAGGGGGAGGATATGGAGGTCCGAGGAGGAGGGGGAGGAGGAGGAGGAGGAGGAGGAGGAGGAGAAGGAGGAGAAGGAGGAGGAGGAGGCGGAGGAGAAGGAGAAGGATGTAGGAGGGAGGAGGAGCAGGAGGGAGGAGGGAGGAGGGAAGGGTGAGGAGGCAGGACGGAGGAGGGAGGTGGGAGGAGTGAGGAGGGAGGAGGGAGGAGCGAGGAGGGAGGAGGAGGAGGAGGCGGAGGAGGAGGAGGAAGAGGAGGAGGAGGGGGAGTAGAAGGAGGACGAGGGGAATGAGTAGGAGCCAGAACCCAAATCTAGTCGTCAACGAAAAACCGAAAAGCCCGAGAAACCGAAAAGCCCGAGAAACTTGAGCCACCGAAACCGAATCGGGGCGGTCGAGCGAGAAAACCAACAGACCTGGCCCGAGCGGGCTGCCTGCGCGGCGCAACGTTGCGCAGGGTGCATGGCTTCCCACGCGCCGCTACCGAACGGTAGGCGGCGGGGACTCACCCTGCACCTCCTGCGGCGGAGGAGGAGGAGGAGGAGGAGGAGGAGGAGGAGGAGGAGGAGGAGGAGGAGGAGAGGACGAGGAAGCGGGGCGGGGACGGGAGACGAGCGACGCGCCCGTTTTGGAGTGGAACCCCGAAAACACCTTGGCCAGAACAGCCAACTGTGCCTTCTTGCGGCGCTTCTCCCTCGAGAAGCCCATGCAAACCGATCGAAGCTTGCACTTGGGGCTCACGCGCAAGCGGGGGGAAGGAAGCGCAGCATCGGCATACGAGCGCGTGCCCGACCTGCCCACTGGTGGCCTCTCGCGGAGAAGCAGCCCATGTCGATGGGGGGTCGGCACAACCACGCCCTCAGGCGGCACAACCGACTCGGCTCCTCCCCATACGACGTGATGGCGGGACGCGGCGGGTCAGAAATGGCGAGTCGTAGGAAGAGGAAGGTGGGGGAGGAGGTCGAGAGGAGGGGAGGAAGGCGGAGGAGGGAGAGGAGGGGGAGGAGGAGGAGGAGGTGGCGGAGGGGAGGAGGAGGATGGAGGAGGAGGCGGAAGAGAAGCTATGTGGAGTGGGAGGAGGAGGAGGAGGAGGAGGGGAGGTGAGAGGAGGCGGAGGCGGAGTTGGAGGAGGAGGAGGAGGAGGCGGAGGAGGGAGGAGGACTAGGAGTAGGAGTGGTAGTAGGAGCAGGAGTGAGAGCAGGAGGAGGAGCAGGAGTAGGAGTAGGAGCAGGAGCAGTAGTTCCAGTAGTACGTGTAGTCGAAGTCTTAGTAGTGGTCGTAGAAGTAGTAGTAGTAGTAGTAGTAGTAGTAGTAGTAGTAGTAGTAGTAGTAGTAGTAGTAGTAGTAGTAGTAGTAGTAGTAGTAGTCGTATAGTAGTAGTAGTAGTAGTAGTAGTAGTTGTTGTAGTTGTAGTAGTAG